TAGAAAAATACAATAATAAAAAATATATATATATATTTAATTTGCTCATTGTCAAGGTTGTTTCAGATCAACACCTGCAAGTGACCACTAGGTGGTCCATTTCGAAGCCTCGACACAATATGGCACATCTGCTTCAACTGTTTCATTGTTTCCCGAAGCCTCGATCTGCCCACCACCACTATAGGACACTATTGTCAGTAACATACATGACGGGTTATAATAATCTGACAGAGAAGAGGAGAAAGAGATGGCTAGAAATAGAAAGACTAATGACAGGAGATAGAGCGCAGGTGGGGGGATGAGAGAACAAGGAACAGCTAAAGGAGATGAGTGAGTGAAAAATGTGTGTGTGTGAGAGAGAGAGAGAGAGAGAGAGAGAGAGAGGTTGAGAGCAAGAGAAATGGGAGCAGAGAGAAACCAGCAGATGGAGACAGAGAGACAAAAAGAGAGAAAAGGATCATGACACTTTATTGTACATCACCTTCTCTTTGCAGTGTGTGTTTGTTATATCTATCTGAGTATAAATGGACACAAACGGCATGGGCTATGTCTAACCACATTTGAGATAGGGTCATAAATTCTCCCAACAGAGGAGTTTCCCGCTTAGAAATTCCACCTTTCTTATTGGTTGAGCCAACCCAAAGGTGGGACCTTTCTCAGGCTTTAAACACTGGTTACTGGTGTAACCTTGGTTCTATGAATAGTGGAAGACCGCTAGAGATGGTCAAACATATGGAAGTCACGTCTCGCGAGCCATATCGAGAATCTCGTATTGATTTGTCACCTGTGACCCTGACTGATGCCGTGTTGGAAGCTATATCCGCTCCGTTCATGTCACGGTCGTTCTCTGCAGTTATTCTCTCAATCCGAGTGACCAGAGACTCTGGTGGTCTTCCACTATTCATAGAACCAAGGTTACACCAGTAACCGTCGTTCTATTTCACTGTTACAGACCGCCAGAGACGGTCGAACATAAAGGAAGGCGAATACCACCAAGTCACGAGGACCACTCACCTAGATACTGCCCGCTAACACAGCAGAACTGACCAAAGGAATAGGGGCCACATTGATCCTGTAGAATCTTGTGAACGTGCAAGGTGACGTCCATGTAGCCGCTGCACATATTTCAGAAAGGGGCACTCCACGTAGTGCTGGCCCAGAAGTAGACACTGACCGGGTTGAATGGCATTTAATTGATGCTGGAACTGTCTGACCAGCCGAATCATATGCCTGTACAATGGTATCCACCACCCAATGAGACAACGTTTGCTCGACAGGGGTGAGCCTCTCTGACAAGAATCAAAACAGACAAACAGCTGATCAGTGGTGCGCTATGAAGCGGTCTTCAACACATACTGTTGCAATATTCTCACTGGACACAAGGCTGCAAGCTGAATGGGTTGTTTCACAAAGCCATCAGACAACACCTTAGGTCGGAAAGCTGGATTCGGCCAGAGTGTAACCTGATTGTACTCAGGCCCCCACCTGAGACACCGTGGACTCACCGAGAGGGCATGAAGCTCACCTACTCTTCTGCTTGACGTCATAGCCAAGAGAAAAGCAGTCTTCATCGAAAGACTTTTAATATCAGCCTGTTCAAGTGGTTCATAAGGCGGTAAACACAGGCTGTTAAGCACCATCTGAAGATCTGGGACAAAGCAGCCAATCGTAAAAAGGGAGAATCAGCATGCCCTCTCATTGTAGAGGTTCCAGTGCCACCTGCATACACCGTGTAAATACACTGGGAGAGAGAGAGGCCAAATGGTAGGACTCGATATTGGTATGTCCTGCCCTGGAATGTGAACCTAAAAAACCTTCTGTGATGAGTTGCAATGGGCATGTGGAAATATGCATCCTTCAGATCCACAGAGGTAAACCACATGCCGGGTTCGACTGCTTGTAGGACATCCTTGACACGCAGGATGCAGAAAGGTAGGTGTTTAAGACTCCTGTTCAACCGTCTGAGGTCCAAGATTGGCCGGAAACTTCCATCCTTCTTGCGAACAAGGAAGTACTTCGAATGAATTCCCCCCCGGATGGATTTGGGGATTTACCAGCTCTATCGCACCTTTTTCCAGTAGCTTCTGGACCTTGAGAGATAGAGCAAGAGCTTGACGAGGGTCCTGAACCACAGTGGGCCGAGTGTGTGTGCATAATTAGGGTCTGTGATGGATTTGAAGACAGTAGCCCCTGTCGAGTGTTTCGAGGAGCCACTTGTTGTTTGTAATCCCTCTCCAAAGTTGTAGTTGAGAGGTTGAAAAGTGTCCCATCACAGACCCTGGACCATCACCGACGATGGGGAGCAGTTTCCCTACCCCTGGGGGGGCGAGGATAAGTCGCCGCAGGGCAAGCAGGTGGTCTACAAGCACGAGATGCCTCACTTCTCGAGTCATACCCAGGTCGAGTAGCCTGCTGTCCAAGCCTGTGAGACTGTCCCTGCCTGTGTTGGAATGGATTTACATGATGCACAGGCATTTGATGTGAGGATGGTCCATAACTCATACTGCGTTCAAAGTGCTGGGACCGAGACTCCACTGCACGAACTCTATGTTCAAGAGCTTCTTGAGCGGCTGGACCAAAAATCTGCCCAGGTACCAGAGGTAGTTGACGAAGATTACGGGCATGCCTCTGGAAGTCTAGATTGTGCGAGCCAGACCTGCCACCTAGCTTGTGTAGTAAGCCCAAGAGCCTTTCCACTAGAGAAACGATTGACCCCAAGGCTTGTAAGGAAGCCTCAAGTAACTCTGATGTGGCATTATCTGGTGGGTTTGTACTCAAGGCAGAACGAAGTGCCAACAAAAGATGAGCCATGGAGTTTCCCACACGACTCAAGCCTGAGACAGTATTGTAAATCCTAACCAGCAGATCATCTGTGCGTCTACACTCTGGGTTGGGACAGCGAAGATTGTGTCTAGGGGCCTCATCTGGTCACAATACCAGTGAAGAAACACATGGCTCGACTGGAGGCATGTTACCAAGGCCCTTTGCCGCTAATGTACGAGCCACACCATCAGGCCTGGATAAAGGAGCTGACCGAAATCACAACCACATCTGTGAAATCAGGACAACTTGGCATTAGGGAATCCTCCTGCTGGGAAACTGAACGGAACGTTGGAACTGGTAATGTGAGGGTACCGTCCCCTCCATAGGCATATAATAATCCTGTTCCTACCGGTCTAAGGAGTCAGAGGCCGCAATAGATAAAGTGTCTGGTTCTCTCCTGGAAAACCTGGATGCCAGCTCACACCTGGGCAAGGGAGGAGCTAAAACACCCACTGCTGTCCCCTCGCTCACATTTTGACGAGCAGGGAGTACAGATAATAAGGCCTTAATGCCCTGAACTGCGTTCGCAAGCTCAGCTACTTGCTGGGTCAATGTCCTTGATTCAGAGGAGGTTCGCATCTTTTTTGAAGGCCTTCCAGTCCCACTGGCCAGACGTTTGCTACTCACATGCGGCGCTGCCCCAGCGGATGGAGCGGAAATCCTAAACTCAGGATCCAATTCAGCCAGTTGATGTTGTCTCATCTCCAAGGACATCAAACTACATTCAGGACATGGGTCTACTAAAGCCTCACGGAGGTGATCAATGCCTAGGCAAGTGGGACATTGAATGTGAGCATCCATGAGGTCCATTGGACCAGAGCAGAGGGAGCATGAAGCTGCCATAACATCCAGACCAGTAGTTGGGGGGAAAAAAACCTTGTCAACCAATGGGGTTATATATTAAAAAGGCATTTACAGTTGCTACAATAAGCCTTATTAATGTATTACTCATGTTAACCAATGAGTATTACATAAAAAATAGTCGATCAGGCAATAAACAAATACTACACACAGTCTGACAGAATCCTGGTTAACCACTGAGTTCACGTGAGTACTCACCTCAACACTGCTAGTAATCGATTAGTTCCAAACAAACCCTGGACAACCAATGGGTATATGGTCCGATGTACGTCGATAAATCCAATATAATCCAAATACAATCCAAAATATAATCCAAAATATTTCTACCGAGACACAGCTGTAGTGGGGAGCAATTGCTCACCAAAAACGCCGTGCACGCTCTTCGACAATGACAAAGAGAACAACCGTGACATGAACAGAGCAGATATAGCTTCCGACACGTCAACGTTTAGGGTCACAGGTGACAAATCAATATGAGATTCTCGATATGGCTCATGAGACGCGACTCCTTCCACTATGTTCGACTGTCTCTGGCGGTCTGTAACAGTGAAATAGAATGGCCTCTACACAGCCCTTGTGCTGTGCTGTCCTGGAACAGGAATTTAGATATATCGTCTATATAGAATTCTGAAGAAAGGCCATCATTTCCAGGAGATTTGTTGTTTTTTAGTGTTTTTATACAACTCAGTTTAATTTAGAAAAAGGTTTTTGGAACATTCAATTTTACTTTCTAAAGACAGCATTTTTGGAGTTAAATTTTAAATCTCTATAATTATGTCTTGAATATGTATTTTTTTTTTCCATAGCCAATTTTTTTTTTCTAAATTGAATGCTACATTTTTTTTTTACTAAACTTTCAAACCAAAATTCAGGTCTTGATTAAAAAAAAAAAAAAAGCATGAAGCCAGAATAAAATTTTGGAATTTATGTTTCTGCCTGAATTAATAGAACTGTACATTCTGACATATGGACATTGCTTTGGCACAGTTGCCTATAAACATTCATTTATAAAGGTGCTTTGAAATGAAATCCAATGTTAAAAGCGCTATACAAATAATTGTACATTTAAAAAAAAAATTAAAAAGGATGTAGTATAAAGCGAATACACTCCGTGACTTCTGTCCCGATATTTGCCCTAGTTTCCAGTCTGGAGATCATCATCTAGAATCACGAACTTTGAGTTTGTCATCCATAAATAAAACTTATCTCGGTTATTCATGTGCTTTAAAGTCGTAATTACGATAATTTTGAGTCCAATAGGGCACATGAACACAGCAGTAAAGTGATTCTCCTTCACCAGGAATGAGGAAACTCAAGTATTGTTGAGCTGTTGTGTGTTTGTGTTTCTGTATTCAGTAAAATGGCAGAAGCCAGATTTTCTCAGGATGAGTTCATGTGTTCAGTGTGTCTGGATCTCCTGAAGGATCCAGTGACTATCCACTGTGGACACAGTTACTGTAAGATCTGTATTACAGACTGCTGGGATCAGGAGGATGAGAAGAGCGTCTACAGCTGCCCTCAGTGCAGACAGACCTTCAGTCCAAGACCTGCTTTAGGGAAAAACACCATTCTGGCTGAACTGGTGGAGAAACTGAAGAAGACTAAACTTCCTGCTGACTGTTACGCTGGAGCTGGAGACGTGGAGTGTGACGTCTGTACTGGAAGAAAACACAAAGCCGTCAAGTCCTGTCTGGTGTGTCAGGAGTCTTACTGTCAAACTCATTTTGACCGTCATGAGGAATATCACTCTCGTAAACCACACAAAGTGATTGATGCCACTGGACGACTGCAGGACATGATCTGCCGTAAACATGATAAAGAGCTAGAAATGTTCTGTATCACTGATCAACAGTGCATCTGTGTGCGATGTAAAGAGTATGAACATAAAAACCACAACACTGTATCAACTGCAGCACAGAGGACAGAGAAACAGGTATGAACTGAGAGAGATTGATCACGCAGAAATGAAAGTGTCTTTATTTACTCACTCATTTACTCATGTTGGTCCAAACCGGTTTGACTGAGTTTGAATATAAAAGATGATATTTTGAAGAATGTCTCATATATTTTAGTTTATACATTGAAAGTCAATGGAATAACAAAAGTCTCAAGCTCCAAAAAAGATAAAAAGCATAAAAGTAAATCTAACAACTAGTGGTTAAAGAAAGAAGTACGCTTAAGTGTACTGACATGCACTTTAGTGTACTTCAATTAAAAGTATGTTTAAAAAAAGTGTACTTGCAGATAATATAATTTTAATTAAATAAAAGGCCACTTAAGTGCACTTAAAGAGAGTCAACCATTTTAATGACTGTTTCAAGTAAACTTTATAAAGCAAACATTTTATAATGTACAATTAAGTTTCACTTCAAAGTTTATTTGAATCATATTAAAAGTATATAAGGCAATAGAATTATAAAATGACATTAAATACTTAAAGGGTACCCCGACTAGTGAGGCATGTTGGCCTTATAAGATTAACGTGAGCGTCAGCTATAAAAAGGTGATACAAAAACACTCCAAATGTTTTTGATTTTAATAAAAAAGTCGAAATATCCGTTCACTCGTAGGCCGCCATAGTTATTTACGTATCAATGCATTCTGGGTAGTGACGTGTAATGGTTGTAGCTAGCCCAGTTTTGACAGAAGCGAGATGAACACGTCTGCCGTTCAGCCTTTTCAGTTTGAACCCGAGCGCACAGTAGGCTTAAATCAAGAGAATAAACGCGGAAAATGACAGGCATACTCAAGAGTTACATGAAAATTAAGATTATTAGAGAGTTGAAGAAGCGAGAGTGGGGCAAAATACATGGTGTCTGCGGCAATTAAGGGTCAATGTCAAGCGAGAACGAGAGCGTTTGCTGTAAAGAGCTCCACTTTTTGTCAGCAGCTGTCCAGGGTACCCAGACAGCAAACTGACATTGAATCAACGTGGAAACGACGTCTCTCATGACATTGAAACAACGTTGATTTTGCTCATCGAATTAACGTTGAACCAACGTCAGACGCGGCATTCTTCAAAGCTAAATGAAAATCGAAAATTGGTTTGCTTTCATAACGTTGAAACAACGCGTTGATTTCAAGTTGATTTTCCGTTAGTTTTGAAAGAATGACGCGTCTGACGTTGGTTCAACGTTAATTCGATGAGCAAAACAATGTCAGATCAACGTTGTTTCAATGTCATATTTCCACGTTGATTCAATGTCAGTTTGCTATCTGGGACGTTAATCTTATAAGGCCAACATGCCTCACTAGCGGGGTTCCCTTTAAATCCTAAGTGAGTTACAAATAGTCATGTGACTGTGACATGAAAGAACCAATGAGCAGTGGCGGCTCCTGCAAAATTTCTCAGGGGGGGCAAATATTTGGATGATTGATAAGGACAAGGCCCACCCATGCAATGGATAAATTAACATCTTAAGCATGTAAAGTCAACTTCACTTTAATATTAATGACAAATAAAGTGACTTAATAACAATAAATCTTCTTGTTTCTATACTCACTATTATTACACTTATTTTATCACATTACTCACTTAAAGAGATAGTTCACCCAAAAATGAAAATTATGTCAGTAATTACTCAACCTCATGTTGTCCCAACCCCGTCAGACCTTCGTTCATCTTCGGAACACAAATTAAGATATTTTTGATTAAATTTGAGAGCTGGATCAGTCCTCCATACACAGCAAATTCTGGTTTTTGGAATAAACTCCCTGTTAGTTAAAATCAACTCAATCTGAGTGTACATGTGAGACCATCAAATAGACTCCAGTGCAGAGTTAAAAATAACTCTGCTCTTGGAGTTGAATTAACACTTTTTTAGAGTTAAAATGTAACTCTTTATGGAGTTAAAATACTAATCCTACGGAGAGTAAATGTAAGTCTAAAAATAATTATATGAACTCATTACCAGTGTTAAAAAGTAACACTTAAAATTTTTTTTTAGTTTAACACTTCTTAGAGTTAACATTTATTCAACACAATATAATGTTTTGTGTGGAAATTACTACACTGAACACCATATTCTTGATTTACTGCCTTTACTTCAGCAAATCCATTTGGTTCAGATTTGAGGAGGAGTAACTTTCAACCGGTTGTCTGCAGGACAGTCGTATCTGAAGATCACAAAAACAACAGTATGAGGCATAATCTAGCACCATTCATTGAGAATGCAAAAATATATTAGCTGAAAATCACGCACATCGTGGGTCACCACTAATATACGTAGCCTAACGTTATAGCTATTACAATTCAAATAATTGCAGGCCTACACAGCACAACTATATCTTATTTTCCAGGGTAACGTTAGACACTGCAATTTTGTAACCACGTATGCCTGTAATGCATTGATGCATCAATTTCACGGTAAAACACTCATTTTCAGAAACACGGTGAATGGAAAGACGGTTAGCTAATGTTAACCCGTTAAGCTACATCGGCAAACCCCCACGCAAATAGCCATTTCAAAATTTGAAACAAGTAAACAAACGTTCAACAGCAAGTTTGTCATAGTCGTTGACGTTAGTAAACAGTATAACTAGCCTATAACGTAGCAGCTACGCGATGACCAAACGTGTTTGTCAGAAAATATAGAACATTTTTAAATAGTTTTATATACACTTTTACCTACCTCACGACGAGGCACATAAGTCCATTATTCCTTTGTCCAGCTGCAGGGTCGTGTCGTGGCGCACTTCTCAAAAATAACTCCAGGTGTAACGTTAGCGTTTAAACCAAAACACACTCCTGAACACCAATGAATGAACTCCAAAATACAACACAGCCCGGGAGTATCCAATAACACAAAGTGTAGTTAGAGTTAAAAAAATAACTTTTTTGCCTAACTCATGATTTTTCAACTCCTGAAATTTGCTGTGTAGGCTTCTAAAGGACTGTGTTCGCCATGACGTTGTTCAAGTTCAACTGTCTGTAGCCACAACTCGCGAGATGTCCCAACAGTCTCTCTCGCTCTCGCTTTTTAAAAAAAAAAAAAATCTATTTAATAAAGATAATAAAGTAGTGTTTCATTTTTTATTGTTGTTTAAATTCAAAATTGTTTTAAAATATTATTTTTCACTTAATCTTATGTTTGTTCCCACCAATCGCTGCACAAGTTAAGGATACGTATGATGATGTAAGCACGTTAGTGCGAGCCCTCCCGGAACCCATAGAGAATGCATTGCAGTGCCTGCAGTTCGAAAAAAAAACATATTTGAATGTAAGTCTATGGGAACACTCTGGGCGATTCTCAGCCAGAGTGAAATCGCCCAAAAAGAGGCGGTACTCCACAGAACGTGACATGACGCTGATTGGACTATATCCAGTGACTGCTAGGGTAACTCTCTGGTTGAATGAGATTGCGAATGTGATTCACACTTTGGTGGTGCGTCGCCCAATCGCCCCAATGAAGAAACCGCCCCTGCCAATGAGCATTATGATATTGATGACACCATTTTTTAAACAGTTGAGAAATTCTTCAAAATATCTTCTGTTGTGTCTCACAATAGAGAGAAAGTCATATAGGTTTGGAGCGACTTGAGGAAGACTAAATGATGACAGAATTAAAACTTTACGGTGAAGGATTCATATAAAACTGGACACTGATGAAATTATGACATTTCAGTTGTCATTCCCTGTCATTGTTTTGTCCTCCAGAAACAGCTGAAGGAGACGCAGATGAAGATCCGTCAGAGAATCCAGCAGAGACAGAAAGATCTTCATCAGCTGAGAGAGGATGTGAAGTCTCATAAGGTGAGTCTGGAGAAGAAGAGAAGTGTGAGACGTCTCAGTTTGGACTCACTGAACTCACTGTGTGATTGTGATGTGTGTGTAACAGCGCTCTGCACACACAGCAGTGGAGGACAGTGAGAAGATCTTCACTGAGATCATCCGCTCCATTGAGAGAAGCCGCTCTGAGGCGACACAGCGGATCAGAGATCAGGAAAAGACTGCAGTGAGTCGAGCTGAAGGACGACTGGAGCGACTGGAGCAGGAGATCAATGATCTGAGGAGGAGAGACGCTGAGCTGGAGCAGCTTTCACACACACAAGATCACATCCAGTTCCTGCAGGTAACAGACATCTAGGAGAACAGGATCATAGTGGACTTGAGCAAGATCCTGCTATGACAGAGAAACATTTGATGAGAGCAGAATGAGCCGTTGACTGAGATGTTGTCAGGAATTCAGTCAGATTCAGTCGAGTGTTGTGTTATCATATAATCATCAGTCAGACGCTCATCTGATCATCTTCTGTTTAAAGAGACGCACTTACAAAGCCCTGGGAAATGGACCATTAAAAATGAGCCGATTGTGTGAAAGTGCTAGATTGAAGCGAGTCACTGAAGAGAAGTCAAGTCTACAAGAGCCGCACAGATCTGATATAGTGCAGGTTATTGGCTGAAGTGTGGAGATGATGAGTTTTGATTTCTGTTTTCTGTAGAGTTTCCAGTCTCTCTCAGCTCCTCCTGAATCTACAGACGAACCCGACGTTCCCTTCGGTTCTCTCTCCTCTTTTGATGGCGTGAGAGAATCTGTCCGTCGGCTGAGAGACAAACTGGAGGATTTCTGCAAAGAGGAGATCAAGAAGATCTCAGACGGAG